CAATTGTGAAAACGTATTTTATCATTAGGGTCCTGTGTACGTATTGAATGCGCGCGACCAATGAAGCATCAGGTGTCACGCCCCCAAACCGGGGTTAGTGATGTGGAGGCTTGTTTAGAAATTTAAACATGTTTAAGAGAGTGATTAGCGAATAATGTTGCAAATATTTTAATTTTTCAAATCCAAAACATCCAGGTATTTCTAAACGAGCCATTGTATTCAAGAGAAATTTAATTTCAAGAAAGGTGGTGGAATTTCCAACCAAACCAGTTTAAAACCACGTCTCTAGTATCAAGTCAGAAATTCCCATAGGTGTTTAGCATACATGAATATAAACAAAAGTAAATGTGACATCAACCACAGTCTAGCAATATTTAAGTTTACAATCCATAATCTTTTATACATGCCTTGAGATAAAAGATAAGAAGAAATACAACTCTTCGCCTCCCAAAGACGAGTCCACGTCACTAGTAGTAGCTACCTACTCCACACTACTCCTCGCGTCGCCTGGAGGGGTTTAATATATTGAAAAAATAATAAAAGTGAGCGAAATGCCCAGTAGGATATAATTTTATAAAACGTAGTAAATAAAGGTACTCACGGTCCGAAGAGATACACCCAGAACCGGTCATCCCTTTTTAGAAAAGGAAATACTCACATAGTAGAAAATGTCTGTATAATGAAAGTGTGCAGCTCATCATACCACTAAACAAGAAGCGGTAAAATGTCTGTCTAGTGAAAAGTGCAGAGCCATAATTCCACTAAGCAAGAAGTGGATCCGTACGAGTTTCGTGACCTGCCCCCAAGGATGCGATTCCCACATCCCGATCTCTAAGGCCACCATGCTTTGTATCATTTCTTAAGATATTTCATTTTAAGAAATGATACTCTTTAAAATCTCATTTCCAAAATCATCGAAAAACTTAATAGCATTCTCATGCTATTCCTTTAAAATCATTTTCTTTAAACATGTTTTATTCTAAAACATTTTCATGGGCCAAAATCATTTAAAGTGAGGCTAACAAGGATATGGATAAGAATATCCTACCTCTCGGATGTCAAACCTGTGGCTATCTTCACGTAGCCCTAGCTCTGCTTGCCTTTGAGGCTCCAATTCCAATCGTGCCACTAACTTTCCCATCAAAATCAACAATTTAGAGTTTGATCTTTCTCACCAAACATTCTCATTTAATTAGATGCAATTGTATCATATTAGTGTGCTATAGTTCAAAATCAATGTTCATAAACAATTCTTAATTCAAATCATGATTCTTTGACAATGGAGATTTATTCCGGAGAATCGAATGGAAAACAAGGATTCATGTGGCTAATCCACTCATTTTGAGTTCTCAAATGAGGTTGGGTCAATCCCACATCGAATTTCGTGGTTAAAACAGGGTTTTGGGCTGTTTAGGGTCGGGTTCAGTAGGAACCGATCGACCGGTGATAGAGGAGTGTAACTCCACCAGTCGGTCGGTGGAGGGGTGACCGGTTGACCGGACCGGTCGACCGGAGGGGAAGATTTCTAGGGCCAGCCATGGCCGATCCGCGTGAAACAAAGCCAAATCCTGAAATTTTAGGTTCGATTTCGACATATTCTCAAGGGAAATGCATAAATATAGTTTTAAATTAACAAATAGGGTCCAAAGAATCAAAAACTCCCAATTTTCATCACAATGCATTCGAAATCCATTCGAAAATAAAATCTAAACTAAAAATCACCAAACTCGACTAAAACGAGTTCCATAAGGCTAAATCCGAAAATCTAAAGTAAGTTTCAAAGAGTTTTACCTCGATCCAAGTTTTGATGTTGAAAACCTCTTAGAAACCTCCGTTTTTGGTTTAAATCCGGCCCTTGAGAAAGAAAAGTTTGAGAGAGAGAGGGAGAGATGAACGAGGCAGGGAGAGAGAGAGAGAGAGAGAGAGCTCGAGATAAAGAGAGGGAGAGTGGGCTCGAGAGACTGATAGGGAGAGAGAGAGTGTGTCGAGACAGAGAGAGAGGGGGAGAGTAACGTGAGGAAGAGAGAGGAAAAAGAAATAAGGGGAAAAAGAAGAAGAGAGAAAAGGAGAAAGAAAAATTGGAAAGAAAATATTAGGGAAAATAAATAAAACAAAGAGGGGTAAAACTGCAAATACCAAAATAAATTCAAAAGTTCATGATTAATTAAGAAAATCAATTCAGGCACACTAATAAACCACAATTATCATGATTAAATAAGTTTAATTCCGGAGGGCTTTACATTCTACCCCCCTTAAGAAATTTCGTCCCCGAAATTGAAATTTACCTCACGATATGAACAGATACGAATATCGTTCCTGCATCGTCGTTTCCAATTCCCACGTTGTTTCCTCAACGCCATGGTGTTGCCACAACACCTTCACTAACGGTATGTCACGTCGACGTAGGCTTTTCATCTTTCAGTCAAGAATCTATACGGGTGCTTCCTCGTAAGTCGTGTATATTGGATCGGCACGTCATACCATTGCACAATGACTTCTGGATCGGGCTGGCACTTCCGAAGCATAGAAACATGGAACACATTGTGCACGTGAGACATTTTTGGAGGAAGATCAAGGCGGTAAGCAATGACACCGACCTGTTGTGTGATCTGAAACGGCCCGATGTACCTCGGCGCGAGTTTCTCCTTCACACCAAAATGAGTAACTCCTTTGTGCGGAGAGACTCTTAACAAGATAAAATCACCCTCTGAGAACTCTAAGGGTCTACGCCTCCTGTCAGCATAACTCTTTTGACGACTCTGATCCGTTATCAGTCGTTTCCGAACCATGGCTATTTTCTCATTATTCTCTTGGATAACATCCGGTCCAAGGGTCAGCCGATCTTCTGACTCAAGCCAACAAACTGGCAATCTGCAAGGTCTACCATACAACGCCTCGAATGGTGCCATCCCAATGCTACTCTGATAACTGTTGTCGTAGGTGAACACAGCTAAATGGAGATACTTCTTCCAGTTTCCACCAAAATCTAGAATGCAAGCACGAAGCATGTCCTCCAAAATCTGAATAACTCTTTCAGATTGTCCGTCAGTCTGAGGATGAAATGCGGTGCTGAAATTCAATTCGGTTCCCATGGCTTCTTGGAAACTTCTCCAATATCTAGCGTTGAAACGAGTGTCACGATCCGATGTGATAGACAACGGAACTCCGTGAAGTCTGACAACGTGCTCCAGATACAACTCTACTAGAACTTTCCTAGAATACGTCGCATGAAAGGGAATGAAGTCTGTGGACTTCGTTAACCTATCCACAACGACTCATATGGCATCATGTCGATGTTTAATCCTCGGTAATCCCATCAGAAAATTCATCGTAATGTGTTCCCACTTCCATCCAGAAATAGGAAGAGGCTGCAGTTCTCCAGCAGGTTTTCGATGTTCAGCCTTGACTCGAAGATAAGTCGAACATTCTGACACGTATTGGCGAACATCCTTCTTCATACATCTCCACCTATATTGCCTTTTGAGGTCTTGATACATCTTGGTACTCCCAGGGTGAATAACGAACCTCGATTTGTGCGCCTCATGAAGGATTATCTTCTTTATCTCATCCACTTGAGGAACGACAAGGCGATTCCTGAAGTAGAGCGTTCCATCTTCCCGAATATTCCATTCGTCCAGCTTTTCTCCATTCTGAATTCGAGTCCAAATCCCCTGAAGATGCGAATCATGCCATTGGTTCTGCTTGACTTGTTGTATAAGAGTTGGCGTTGAAACCAAGTTGTACATCATAGCTTGGTTCGAATCCTCATAATACTGAAGATCATAGTCACCTACAATTTCACTCTGTTTCCAATCTTCCAATGCCAAAGATGCTAGGATTCCTGGAGTTTTTCTGCTGAGAGCGTCTGCTACCACGTTAGCTTTTTTAGGATGATACTGCAAGGTGAAGTCATAATCCTCCATGTATTCCATCCATCTTCTCTGTCTCAGATTTAAGTGCTTCTGAGTGAACAGATACTTCAGACTCTTATGATCAGAGAAGATCTAGAATTTTACTCCATAGAGGTAGCATTTCCATATCTTGAGAGCAAAAATCACAGTTGTTAACCCTAGATCATTCATGGAGTAGTTCTGCTCATGTGGCTTCAATTGACGAGATGCATAGGCCACAACATGTCCATTTTGCATCAGAACACATCCAAGTCCTCGTCTTGATGCATCGGAATACACCTCGTACGACTCATCGCTATTAGGAATCGTCAGAATCGGCACACTGGTTAGCCTAGTCCTCAGTTCTTGGAATGTATGTTCACAATCGGCATCATATTCAAACCTGACTTCCTTTTTAGTCAACTGAGTCATTGGAGCAGCAATACTCGAAAAATCATTTACAAATCGTCGATAATACCCCGTAAGTCCTAGGAAGCTTCGAATTTTGGCTACGTTTTTCGGTCGTTCCCATTGTAGCACCGTTTCAATCTTTGCAGGATCCACTGAAATTCCTTGTCCAGATATAACATGTCCAAGGAACTTGACTTCTGTCAACCAGAAATCACATTTCTCATTCTTTGCATGAAACTGGTGTTCTCGAAGAGTCTGGAGAACGATCCCCAAATGTTGCTCTTCCCAAGTCTTTGAGTAAACCAGGATGTCGTCAATGAAGACTATCACAAACTGGTCTAAATACGGGCGGAAGACTCGATTCATCAAATCCATAAAAGCGGCGGGAGCATTCATTAATCCAAAAGGCATTACTAAGAACTCATAATGCTCATAGTGAGTTCTGAAAGCTATTTTTGGAATATCATCTTTCATAATCTTCAACTGATGATACCCGGATCTCAAGTCGATTTTTGAGTAATACCGTGATCCTCCCAACTGATCGAATAACTCATCGATCATCGGTAATGGGTACTTGTTCTTCACGGTAACCCTATTCAATTGTCGGTAGTCTATGCACAACTGAAGGGATCCGTCGTGCTTTTTCAAAAACAAGACAGGTGCACCCCACGGAGAAGTGTTGTTTCTAATGAATCCCTTTTATGCCAACTCTTCGAGTTGTTTCCTTAGCTCTTTCATCTCCGCGGGCGTCATTCGATACGGAGCAATAGAAATCAGAGCCGTTTCCGGAAGTAAGTCGATGCAAAACTCAATTTTTCGGTCAGGGGGTAAACCAGGCAACTCATTAGGGAATACATCCGCATATTCATCGACCACGGGGACCTCAACATTCTCCCTAGCGATACCGAATTCACCCTCTAATGCCGAAAGGAATGAGAAACAAGCTAAATTCTGCCGTCCTCTGACACTATGCCTCAATAGTCATTCTTCAGTAACCGGGTTAACACCTCCCTGATACGTTACTATCGTGCCAGAACCGGTAGTCAAGGTAACTCTCATACGGTGGCAATCAACAATCGCCCCATATCTTGACAACCAATCCATGCCAAGCACTACATCAAACTGATTCATGGGAAGGATTATCAAATCTGCCTTTAATTTCTCATTTACAATCGTGATCACACACAACCTACATATGCTAGTCACCTCCACACACCTCAGTGGAGAGTTTATGAACATTGAAATATCTAGATCATCGGGTTTCAAACCCAAAACATTCACAAAAGAAGTGGAAACAAAAGAGTGCGTAGCACCAGTGTCGAACAAAACTCGTGCAAAAGAGTGAGAGATAGGTATCATACCCTCAACGACTGGGTTTTCGGCATGAGCTCCAAAACTTCCCCCGGCCATGGTATGCATCTACCCCGGTGCTTTCCCTTTTCCTCTCTCGTTGTTGTTAGGTCTCTAGTTTCCAGGCCTATACTGTTGTTGCGGTAGGGTAGATTGTACTGATACAGAAGCCTGTGGCCAGAAATAAGAGTAGTTCGGCGGACGAAAGATTGGTGCAGAAGGAATTGACATCTGTGCAGGTAACTGGGGCTAATAGAAAGGCGTGAACTGTGGAAATCGGTATTGACTAAGAGTAATACCCCTTTGATTCTATGGTGATTGTTGGGTCTGTTGGTTCACCTGTTGGCCCCTAAGAGGACAGTTCCTTTTGATATGCCCTAGCTCTCCACAATGATGGCACTTAAAGCTATAGGGTCCACTCTTCCCACTTCTTGAAGAGCCACTGCTACCACTAGGCACTCTCCCACTACCTTGCCCCTGATCACGGCTTTTTCTGTTACTCCTTTGGGGTCCTCCTGAAGTTCTTCCTGAAGCTTCTCGATCCTGGAGGAAGGCGATGTGCTATTGTTCAACAGAGATGGCTGCTGTAACCAGGTCACTATAGACTCGATGCCTTAAAGCTACCACCGATTTTTGGATCACACCCTTAAGACCTTTCTCAAACTTTAGGCACTTTATGCATTCTGATTCAATCAAGGAAGGAGCAAAACGTGATAGCTCATTGAACTTAGCTTCGTATTCTCTCACCGTCATATCCCCTTGCTGTAGGCCCATGAATTCCATGGCATTTTCATCTTGATAACTTTGGGAAAAGAATTGCTCATTAAAGAGCGCTTCGAATTGTTCCCAATTCATCCCTTCTACATCATGCATTCGACGGATATGCTTCCACCACGCACCTACAGGACCTTCAAACTTAAAAGCTGTGAACTCCACCCAATACTCATCTGGTACTCCCGTGGTACTTAGATGCTTAGACACTGATTTGAACCAATACACGGCTTCCTGGGGCCCATCTGCGCTAGTGAATGCGGGAATTGAGCTACGCCTGTACTCATGGAAGTAGTTCTGTTTTCTATCATCCGCAGGACGTTCATTTTGGGCTCTAGTAGCCATCCCTTGGAAGGCGGCGTACATGGCTTCCATGAATTGCTCATTCGGCATTGTTGGTGGGTTAAGGTTTCTACGGCGCGGTGGTATTCTTTTATCTGAAAAGAAAGCTAGACTGTTTTACTAATTTCCTGATGTCATTCATGTATGCATAATTTCAAACCCTAAGGTTCTAAACCAAGGGCTCTGATACCAAGTCTTGTCATGCCTCTAAACCGGGGTTAGTAACGTAGAGGCTTGTTTAGAAACTTAAACCTGTTAAGAGAGTGATTAGCGAATAATGTTGCAAATATTTTAATTTTTCAAATCCAAAACATCCAGGTATTTCCAAAACGAGCCCCTGTATTCAAGAGAAATTTAATTTCAAGAAAGGTGGTGGAATTTCCAACCAAACCAGTTTAAAACCACGTCCTTGGTATCAAGTCAAGAATTCCCACAGGTGTTTAGCATACATGAATATAAACAAAAGTAAATGTGACATCAACCACAGTCTAGCAATATTTAAGTTTACAATCCATAATCTTTTATACATGCCTTGAGATAAAAGCTAAGAAGAAATACAACTCTTCACCTCCCGAAGACGAGTCCACGTCACTGGTAGTAGCTACCTACTCCGCACTACTCCTCGTGTCGCCTGGAGGGATTTAATATATTGAAAACATAATAAAAGTGAAAGAAATGCCCAGTAGGATATAGTTTTATAAAACGTAGTAAATAAAGGTACTCACGGTCCGAAGAGATACACCTGAAACCGGTCATCCCTTTTTAAAAAAGGAAATACTCACATAGTAGAAAATGTCTGTATAATGAAAGTGTGCAGCTTATCATACCACTAAACAAGAAGCGGTAAAATGTCTGTCTAGTGAAAAATGCAGAGTCATAATTCCACTAAGCAAGAAGTGGATCCGTACGGGTTTCGGGACCTGCCCCCAAGGATGCGACTCCCACATCACGATCTCTGAGGCCACCATGCTTTGTATCATTTCTTAAGATATTTCATTTTAAGAAATGATACTCTTTAAAATCTCATTTCCAAAATCATTAGAAAACTTAATAGCATTCTCATGCTATTCCTTTGAAATCATTTTCTTTAAACATGTTTTGTTCTAAAACATTTTTATGGGCCAAAATCATTTAAAGTGAGGCTAACAAGGATATGTATAAGAATATCCTACCTCTAGGATGTCAAACCTGTGGCTATCTTCACGTAGCCCTAGCTCCGCTTGCCTTTGAGGCTCCAATTCCAATCGTGCCACTAACTTTCCCATCAAAATCAACAATTTAGAGTTTGATCTTTCTCACCAAACATTCTCGTTTAATTAGATGCAATTGTATCATATTAGTGTGCCATAGTTCAAAATCAATGTTCATAAACAATTCTTAATTCAAATCATGATTCTCTGACAATGGAGATTTATTCCGGATAATCGAATGGAAAACAATGATTCATGTGGCTAATCCACTCATTTTGAGTTCTCAAATGAGGTTGGGTCAATCCCACATCGAATTTCATGGTTAAAACAGGGTTTTGGGCTATTTAGGGTCGGGTTCAGTGGGAATCGGTCGACCGGTGACAGAGGAGTGTAACTCTACCGGTCGGCCGGTGGAGGGGTGACTGGACCGGTCGACCGGAGGGGAAGATTTCTAGGGCCAGCCATGGCTGATCCGCGTGAAACAAAGCCAAATCCGGAAATTTTAGGTTCGATTTCGACATATTCTCAAGGGAAATGCATAGATCTAGTTTCAAATCAACAAATAGGGTCCAAAGAATCAAAAACCCCTAATTTTCATCAAGGTTTCATCAAAATGCATTTGAAATCCATTCAAAAATGAAATCTAAACCAAAAATCACCAAACTCGACTAAAACGAGTTCCATAAGGCTAAATCTGAAAATCTAAAGTAAGTTTCAAAGAGTTTTACCTCGATCTAAGTTTTGATGTTGAAAACCTCTTGGAAACCTCCGTTTTTTGTTTAAATTTGGCCCTTGAGAAAGAAAACTTTGAGAGAGATAGGGAGAGATGAGAGAGAGAGAGAGAGATCGAGATAGAGAGAGGGAGAGTGAGCTCGAGAGACTGATAGGGAGAGAGAGAGAGTGTCGAGACAAAGAGAGAGGGAGAGTAACGTGAGGAAGAGAGAGGAAAAAGAAATAAGGAAAAAGAAAAGAAGAGAGAAAAAGAGAAAGAAAAATTGGAAAGAAAATATTAGGGAAAATAAATAAAACAAAGAGGGGTGAAACTGTAAATATCAAAATAAATTCAAAAGTTCATGATTAATTAAGAAAATTAATTCAGGCACACTAATAAACTATAATTATCATAATTAAACAAATTTAATTCCGGAGGGCATTACATCAGGGGGAGCTACTTAGACATTTCGTCCGGCGACACTCATGATCTTACCTACTTAGGTTAGTTAACCTCCTGTCATCAAAGGTTGGAGGAATTATTACCTTAAGGTCAGAGGGTGACACCACACTTAACTCATCTTCATTACCTTAACCTTTTTACTCAAGTGAACATGCGAGTATGATCATGCCAAATGAGTATTAATAATGCAATTTAATGTTAAGAGGCGACATATGTTAAAATATCATCATCAAAACTCAATTAACCACCGTGAATTGGTGCACACAAAGTAAACAATATCTCAAGCATATCTTTTTAAACACATTCATGTTGTATGAGAGGTCTGTATTCACCTGGATAATTGTAGAACCGGATTTCTACAGCCAAATAAAAACGTGTTAATTGATGTGAAATATGCAAGAAATGAACTTGGGTCTCTAATCACCATTATAATCCATGCTTTTGTCAATCAAGATTAAATCTTGTTATATATTCATGAAAGAACAATCAGAAAACGTAAATTATAATAAGAACTTAAATACTAAAGAAATCGCATCAAAGGTAAATAGAGAGTCTGGAATTTATAGTGATTGACTCCATAACGAGAGCTACATCCACTAGTTTGCTTCACTATCTGGAAATTTGGATTACAAAATACAAGTGTTTGCTCTTAACGAAGCTCTCCACTTTGGAATATAGATAGAATTATAAGATATCCAAGTGTCTCTTTTTTGGCCTTCCCCCCTCATTGGATGCCTCTCTCCTATTTATAAGCATCCCCCTCCTTCCTTCTCAGGAACTGTTGGGCTTCCTCTGCCTCAGATCTTGGATCCACTTCAGTGGAAGATGCAGGTAGTGGAGTAACTCAAATGTTGACACGTGTCCTGACATGTTCTGTGAAGGTTGCCAGTGTTTTTTTTTTTTTTTTGAGAAGTGAATCCTAGTGGGCTCCCGAACCTTTGGAATAACGTTTCCCTCTCTTGGGCTAGACAATAGGTCTAGGAGTCGATTAAAGATTTAAGCATATCAAATCTCACACCAACAATAATCACACTTACCATTTTCTACTTCAATTCACTCTTTTAGGATGCGTTTGGTTAGTGTATTCATGTCATGATTTAAATCATGGTTCATGATTTGCTACAGTATTTCCTCTCACAAAAAACACACATAAATCAAAAATAGTTCTGAATCCATGAACCAAACGTAGTGTTGTTGGTTCTGTTTTTAAAATATACCTACAATGATGATCAGTTCATTTTCAAACTTCTAGTCCTAATTACTTCAGTTTTATGACTTATGTCTTAGCGACATTTCTTAGGATAAATAAACTAAAATAATTATCCCCCTTCTAACTTAATAACATTTCCAAATAAATTAACTAATTAATTTCGCTAATTAGATAGTTAATTTATTTCTAAACTCTATTAACCAATTAAGTCGATTATTTTAGTTTCTTAAGTAAATTTGTTTTCTAACTCTAATTAATCAATTAGTTATACTGATTAATTAATTAATTATTAACTTAATTAACACACTTTATTAATTTACTAGGAGATTCGAATTAACTAAATTATTGTTGGGAAATAGTAAAAAATAGGCCA